CGTCCAGATTCAGGCGTTGAGGACTCCCAACCCTGCTAGTGGGACTTGGCCCCCGGTAGTAGTAGTTCCACAGCCAAAAATATTTCCGGGCCAGGGTCCCACTTTCCTTTGCCAAAATAGATCTTTGGGAGTCATTAGGACCCCTACAACGGCATTTTTGTGACCCCCACATAGTTTTTTCCCCTTCTCTTTTTTTTTTTTTTGCATACAGCTTATGAACGGAATTGATCCTTCCTTTTTTTTTCTTTTTCTTTTCTTTTTTTTTTTTCTTTTTTTTTTTTCGAGATTGCACTTTTATTAACAGGGCCCAGGGGTCTGGTCCCACCTGTGTTGTTGAGAAAACTCAACGCGGAGTTTTCTACGACGAGCGACAACGTTCGACAGGATGTGGCCGTCGACAGGGCTACGATCCCACGATTGGAAGTATTTCGAAATGTTGATGTCCTACCGGGTGATTTGAATGAATTTTTTTTTGTTGTATAAGGACTTCGAATGGACTCCCGCAATGGAGGGAAGGCGGCATGGGCAAGCGCCACGGAGTTGAGAAAGCTACCCTCCACGGTCGAGGGTAGGTTTCTCAACATGGTCGATGAGAAATTTTGCCATTTTTGGGATTTTTAGTCGCCGTCTGCTGTTCCCCGTTTCTCGTATACTGTGTCAGGCACTTCGTCAGTCCAATGAAAGCCGTAACTGTCGTGCGTGGGCTCTATAAGGCCTCGCTCCGTTGCTCACCACATGCACAAACAAAAGAAAAAAGAAAGTCGATGTATGTTTCCGTGTTCTTGCCTATATTAATTGCTCTTTGGACCCACTTCGACGTCCTCGTGTTTCCACATCATGAGGCCTCGCTGCACTACTCTCGACATGCACAAAAGACAAAAATCATGGCAGTGCATCTTCCCATATTCTAGGGGAAGATTCACTCTCGTTTTGCACATTTCGAGAGCAGTGCAGCGAGGCCCATATGGTACTTCAAGATACGCAGAATCCTCGACAGAAACCACTATTTTCGCATCATTCTCTTAAAATGAGCAAAAACTGCTACGAATAAATCTGAAATGCATTTTTCGGATTTAAAAAATGCCGTAAATGGTGTCACACGTTGAGTTTCTCAACTCAACGGCCGTAGGTGGGACCAGACCCCAGTGCCCAAGGCAATTACATGATCAAGATATAACGGGGGCAAGGTACCACTTGCACGGATTAAGAGATGCTGGCCGTTGCTCTTTGCTATCTACGGTCGCTTAATAATTCGTGTAAGTGGGACCTAGCCCCGGAATTGATCCTTCCTTCCGTTTGAGACCATCTTTTTTCCTTCTTTTCTTTTCTTTTCTTTTCTTTTTATTTCTTTTTTTTGCCAAGTTTGATACCATCTTTGAGATTCCCTTTTTTTTTTTTTTTTCCTGACACAAAAACATTCCTATGTCGAGCCCAGTGCCTTGAGACCATCTTTTCTTAAAAAAAAAACCTAAACAAAGAACTGATCACCCATGCGAAGTTTTTTTGAGGTCTCTGCACCGCGTCCCCGACATGTTTTTCTGTTACATCAACGGAAATTTCAGGTCCGCACCGCATCCCCTAAATTTTTATGACGTCATCCAAAAACATCCGGTAAAATCGGAACGATACACAGAGAGAAGATTAACATGAAATTGGAACGATACACAAAGAGAAGATTAGCATGAACCCTGCGCAAGGATGCCACGCAGAAATCGAGAAATGATCTGGACCAAAAAAAAAAACTGACAACTGGGCCAAAACTGGCCCATCTTTTAGCTCTGTTATTTAAAAAAAAAAAAAAAAAAAACTGTTACATCAACGGAAATTTCGACCGAAAAATCTAAGTTCCCACCACCTCTGGACTGTGGTCTGGGAGTGGGAGTGGCTGAATTTCGGGCTCTTCGGCGGCTTCCGCCTTTATTAACAAACGCCTCGAACCCTCTGCTTCACTCATCAAAAAGTAGTCTTGTCGCATGCCTCTGCCTTGGGGTGTGCGAGTACCAAGTTTTTTTCTTTTTTTTTTCTTTTTTTTCGTGCGCCTTGGCTTGTTTTTTTTGTTTGGGTGGGGGGCGGGGGGGTCCGGCCTCTGCCTTAACCAACGCCTCTAAGTTCTTACCCTGTTTCATTCATCAGATAGAAACAAAGCCTTGTTGCTTGCCTCTGCCTTGATGCGAGCACCCAGTGAAACTTGCACCCCCGTCGAGCGGATGCCTTCCCTCTCTGTGAATGGATCGCAGAGGTGAAATCCGATCCTATGCATCACGCCAGTCACGGGCAGTAAGGTGAAGTTCCTCATGCCTTCGGTGGACACAGGGATTGCTATGAAGAACTTGGCAATGAGAGAATTGGGAGAGAGAGTTGGGCTGAGATTAGTATCCCCCCCAGGGCCCAGGCCTGTCATATGCTTCTGGAGAGAGTAGTAGTGCCGCGAGAGATTAGTTCATACCCTATCATTCATGGCAATTGTTTTGCTGAGAGGGTAAAGAGGCAGGAGTAAAAAAAAAAAAAAAAAAAAAAAGAAAGCACTGCCCACAATTTGGCAAAAAGCTCATCATCTCCCCCAGAGTCGGCCAATACTACTT